AGTAGCAAGGATGGGGCTTGGAACCCAGTCTGTGAGACCAAGAGCTGATCTCTTAATCTCGTGCTAACCAAGGGGGGAAAAAAGAACAGCTGCTGTTGAGTCATTACTGACTCATGGTGACCCTATGTGTTGCAGAGCAGAACTTCTCTCCATGGGGGTTTTCAAGGCTATGATCTTTCAGAGCAGATTGCCGGGCCTTTCTTCTGCAGGGTTTCTGTGTGGGTTCAAACCACCAATCTTTCATTTAGTAGTTGAACACTTAACCATTTACACTAACCAGGACTCCTATGATCTCTTAATAGATGAATTATTATACAGCTATTGGTCTCTTTTGGTCTGGAGCAAAGGAGAGTAAAGAAAACCAAAGACCCAAGGAAACAATCAGTCTAAAGGACTAATGGACCACAGGAACCACAGCTTCCACTAGCGTAAAACCAGAAGAACTAGATGGTGCCTGGCTGCCACTACTGACTGCTCTGACCAGGATCACAACAGAAGGTCCTGGTTAGAGTAGGGGAAAAAAAGTAGAACAAAATTCAAATTCATAAGAAAGAACAGATTTACTGGTCTGAGAGAAACTGGAGAAACTTCTGAGACTTAGGCGCTTAAACATCTTTTTAACTTGGAACTGAAGCCATTCCTGGAGATCACCTTTCAGCCAAACAGTAGACAGGACTATAAAATAATATACATTAACACCTGTGAGGAAAGTGCTTCTTAGAATAATCATCTATATGAGACCAAAAGGGCAATATCTGCTCAAAACCAAAAATGAGAAGGCAGGAAGGGGCAGGAAAACCAGAGGAATGGAAATGGGGAACTCAGGGTGATAATGGGGAGATGCTGACACATTGTGGGGATTGCAACCAATGTCATGGAACAATTTTTGTGTAAATTATTGAATGGAAACTAATTTGCTCCGTAAATCTTCACCTAAAGCACACACACACACGCACGCGCGCACACACACACACACAACAAAAACAAATCTAAACAAACAAAAAAATATATATATATAGATGAATTATTTCATCTGGGTTTTATGGATCCATGTAGATAGAAACTCCATCTGAGCAGGGGTTATGTGTTTTTCCCCAAAGAGTAGCTAGGACAGTCCTGAGTCCAGAGGAAATGCTCAGTAAAACACACTGATCAAGGTGGGCAACTGTTAAAGACACCATACTCCGTATATGGCAATGAGATTTTTTCTGGAATAAATTTCTAGTGTTTTGCTGTGTTTCTTTACAGCTATGTCAACACTTCTACAGAGGTAAACCCCCCTAGGTCTTCTTTCAGTAATTGCTCCCTCTCCTTCTCTCTGGAATTGGGTAAAGGCACCTCTGGTGGCTTTGGCCTTCTTTCATTCCTTGAGGTCCCATCAAGATACAAGACTAGCCCTGCAGGATGTACTACTCAGGACAGATGTACTGACAATGGACAGAGCCAGAGCGAAGCCTGGCTTTACACTGAATAGAGACGAGGGTTCTCTGAACTCTGGAGCCCCAGCCTGGGCTCTGATGCTTAGGGGGTCCCTGACTCACCAACTGTTACCTAGAATTTGAAGAACACTATGGGCTACTCATCTTGATTTAGGGAACGACCATTCAGAGTGCTTCTACCACTGCTAGACTTTAATTCAGGGATCTCGTTGAATATCAGTACCTCCTCCAGGATGTGGGCAAAGTAAAATAACATAATGGAGAAGGTATTATCATCGCTGACTAGACCAAAACTTTGGGATTATGTGTAGGTTTAATTTGTTACTCTGCTCTACATTTGCATAGAAGCAGAAGAATTGACTAGGTATTAATTTTCCCTTCAGTGGGAAAAGACTTAGAATCTCAAAGCTAAATTATATTTTTTTCTAAAATATTTTAACTCTATGGGCTCTACTTTTATTCTACTCATACAGATAAAAGAAATAGATTCTGGTCCAGCTTTTTAGCTTAGAGATACTATTCTTTGGAATTGGAGACTGTAATTTTTTAAAAATAATATTAACTGTAACAGCAATAAGCATGGCTACCTTGAATTTTGTGCATGTTTTGTTCCAAGGACTGTACTAGGTATTTTATGTTTGTTAGTTTATTTAATCCTAACAGTTTCCCTTTAGGATCTGTATAGTCACCTTTTATGCCAATTTAATTCATAGAAATTTTAAATAGTATTATGTAAATATCAGTCACAAAATCAGAAGTAAGGTGAATGTCCTAATTAAATAAAAAATCAACAAGGATTTCAAAACACATGGGCCAGGGGAACTCTGTTCACTCTTTTGCCACAATACAGCACTTCTTTAGCTGGTAACTAGATGTACCTGCCATTCTTTGTCAAAATTAGTCTTAAATTCCATCAGGTTTTGGGAATGCGTTCCTTATATAAAATGCAGTTGCCTTGTATTATAACCTCAGGGAGCATAGGGTACTCATTCCTTGCACAGAATAAGCAATTAGTAAATGATCATCTAGAGTATTTGAACAGGCTGGAGAGGGAGGTGTGATCAGAATGTGAGCTTGACTATTCTCCTTTCATCCCTTCCTAGCTCATGGCTAAGGTTTGCATTTCCAGCTGAGGTTGCATGCTAAACTGTGATGTCCAGATGAGTACCACTGTTGTTAGTTGCTGTCGAGTCAGCTCAGATTCCTGGTGACTTTATGCATAACAGAATGAACATTGCCTGGTCCAGCACCGTCTTTATGATTGTAGGTATGTTTCAGTCCATTGTTACGGCTGTTGTGTTAATCCACCTCATTGAAGGTTTCCCTTGTTTTCATTGGCACTCTACTTTACCAAAGATTATGTCATTTTCTAGAAATTGGTCTTTCCTGGTGTTGTGTCTGTAGCACAGTGGTTAAAGCTCTTCGCTGCTAACTAAAGATCAGTGGTTCGAACCCACCACCTGCTCCACAGGAGAATGATGTGGCAGTCTGTTTCCGAATGTAAAGATTACAGTCTTGGAAACCCTATAGGGTAGTTCTGCTCTGTCCTACAAAGTCGCTATGAGTCAGAATTGACTTGACGGCAATGGGTTTGGCTTTTTGGTTTTTGATATGTCCAAAGTAAGCAAGTCAAAGTCTTTCCATCTTTGCTTCCAAGGAACATTCTGGTTCTAAGGAACACTCTACAACCAGAATGAATACCACTACGTGGCTTTAATTTTTATCCTCTCAGTCTTACCCTTGGACTTATTTCTTTCTCTCTCTCCTCCCTCCCTCCCTCCCTTCCTTCCAAAAAATAACACATGTGTGGGGTTTTTAGTACTTAACATTTTATTTTCAAATAATTATCGATTCACAGGAAGTTGCAAAATAGAATACAGAGAGGTCTCATGTATGCTTCACCTGATTTCCACCAATGATAACATCTTATTTAACTGTAGTAGCACAGGTGTCTTTAAAGTGCAATAGCTCACCGAGTTTAGATTCCTAGGGGGAAAAAAACACACAATTATATTGAGATGCAGTAACCTTCTCCTCAGACCTAAAACCAGCGCGGGGTTCAAGGGCATGCCACCAGTGCAATCACACAAGGCCCCACACTCAGAAAGGGATGCCACACTTGGAGTTTAATAGCCTGTAATCATCATCTTGAAATTCTTAATAATTTTATTTTACATTTGTGTTTTGTAAGTGAAGTACGATGGGACAATGGAGCATGTGCCGGGAACTTAGCTTAGCACCTCAGTTCCTGAGTGTTTCTACCTTCTGTGTGGTTCCACATCCTGCCGCCTCCCTCCCTCCCTTGGCCGTCCTGAGACCACTGCTGTCCCCCACCCCCACCTTTCCTGGGGGTCCCGTATGAGGGGAAGGCTGGGGTTGAGAGGAAGCACCAGGTCCCCGTGAGGGTCTGCACTTGCCCAACAAGTCTCCCTGTGCCCAAAGAAGCACAGCATAAAACAACAAATAGAAAGCACCATGGCAAGTCGAGAGGGAAAGAAAGCGGAAGAAAGGAAACCACTTCTTGAACAAGGGGCTCAATATTTGCATTTTGCACTGTACCCCACAAATTATGTTGACGGCTCTACCTAACACTATTTTATAGTCAGGCCTCTTACAAGAAGCTTACGCACGAAGGTGAATATTTATCAGGAAATAGAAGCTTTAATGAAAGCACAGAGAAATACTTGTTTGTCAAAGGCTCAGATAATTCCCACTAATGCCAGAGAAATCTTCCTTAAGCACAGTTCTTATCAAGTCATGGACTGCTCTAAAACCTGCAGTGCTCCCTGGTTATCAAATACACGCCATAGCCATAGCCTGGCCCCGGGGCTCTCCATAAATTATCTACCCTCATTTTGTCTTCTGAATTTCAGGTCTGACCAGACCTTGATTTAAATCCATGCTTGCTTCCAACTAAACACAGTCCATGCTTTCCCAGCTCTGTGCCTTTTCTTATGCCATTTTCTTTTTCACAAATGGAACTTTTCTTTGAAAGTGAGCTATTGCTTTTCTCTTAAGTTCTCAGCCTGTGCCCACTTCATAACCTTTGTGCTTGTTTCCTCTTCTCATAATGCTCTTTCCCTAGGTCTTGTTTGGCTAGAGCCTTCTTGCCATTCAGAGAGAAGGTCACCTCTTCAGAGACTTGCTCCCATCCCATCCCATTACTCTTCTATTAATTCTATTTACTGCTTTTAAACTTTACTTTGTATTTTTTTTTTTTTTTTTACTGGTGTAATGATTCTTTCCTCATGAGAGTAGGAGCCTTTTATTTTATTTTATTTTTGCCTTGTTCACTTCTGTATCCTCAAGGCCTTGATGTATGCCTGGTATATATTTATTGAACAGAAAGGGCCCTTTCCCTCCATTGAACACTGGAAAATGTTGTATATCATATGTTGTGTACATGTTTTCTCTCCTACACTATTAACTTCTTGAGGGTGGGGAATGATTCATTCTTATCCTCAAAAATGCCTAAGAGAGAACCAGGCTTTATTCAGTCTTCATGGAATAAATATATAAAAATAAATGGTACAGGGACAGAGAATTTCTTTTTGCTTTCAGAACAACTGGACCCTGCATTAAGCCAGAGAGATCAAAACTAATTGCCGGAACGAGAAGCACATGCCATTTGGCATTCACTGCCTCTGTCCCAAGGACAGCCTTGGAAAATTGTGTAATCAACTAAGAGCATGCAGCATCCAGAGTGACCTCTATATTCATCTCAGTGCCATTCTCTTCAGGTAATTGGTTGCCTTCCTGTCCTGTGGGTTGAAAAGCTTCCTAAAATAGACCAGGGACAAGGCTTAGCTCTGATGGGAGTGATCAAAGTGAGGGGCACCTTCTTTATGTTTATGGGACATTTGTATCTGTGTGTGTATGCATGGGTTTTTAGCAAAGCACTTTGTTTTTCATTGTCCATAAAAATGGATGTATTCTCCTACAAATCATTTTGAGGGCCTATGGGCTGTGAAGAAGATAAAGTGAGGCATTAATCTAGAGAGTGAAATGTTTGGGTCAGAAATAGGCTTATTAGACCAAGATGGTAAACACAAATATAGAAGAAAGATCTGTTCTGGATGTTCTGGGCAAGGAGAACACGAGGCCTGCTGATCAGCAAAGCTGGGCTGAGATGAGGCTTCTCAGGAGCTATGATAGAGTCAGAGCCATAGACGGTCTCCCAGGAGCTGGTGAATAGAGCAATTTTGTACAAGGCTGAGGCAACTGGAGGGTGGTAGATAGAGAAGAAGTGGGCAGTGGTAGTCAGTGGTAGAATTCTCACTTTCCATGCAGGAGACCTGGGTTTAACTCCCAATCAATGCACTTCATGTACAGCTACCACCTGTCTGTCTGTGGAAGCTTGCATGTTGCTATGATGCTGGAAGAAAAGCCTGATGATCTACTTCTGAAAATCAGCCAATGAAAACCTTGTGGATTAAAGACCAAATCCTCAATTGATCATTGGGATGATGCCGGATCAGGCAGCGTTTTGTACCATTGTGCATGGGATCCCCTTAAGTCAGGGGCTAACTCAGCAGCAGCTAACAACAATAACAATACAGAGAGAGAAACTGCAATGTTCTGAAACATTTGCACAATTCCCTCTTCCCTTACCCCCCAGAAGAGCTTTTCATAGGTAGACCCCGAGCCTCTTGGCTTCTCCTGGGTATTCCTATGGCTAATGCTGAAAATGCGGATGGCTTCCCTCCTCCTTCAATCTGGCAAAACCTCCACGATGAGACTAAAAGCTGGTTTCATTCCTGGAGGGTTAGTGTTTTTTGGGGGGATAGGGACAGTGTGTGGCACACACACAGAAAAACAAAACTATGCAAACTGTGGAAGAAATGAGAATGATGGCTGCTGGTCCTGAGGCTTGCCTGCTGGGGTCAGATACCTCCTGTGGGTGCACACACCTCATGGGGTGAGGCATTGGGGTTGCGGGAAAGTGATTTTAGCCAATTCTGTGAACAAGGTTCTGGAAGGCTTGGTGGGGTGAAGGTTTATTTGTAGTCTTCTTCTCGGGAAGAAAATGTCCATTGTGTGACAGGTGTATGTAGCATTGCTGGTCTCCTGTGGGGTTTCCTCCCTTTTCCCTGAGTTTTGCTCCTCATCAGTCTTCCAGCTGGCATTTTAAACAGTTCTGGGCTTCCGTGAGAGGACTATGGACAGAGGTCAGAACCTGAAACCCTGCATATAGGAATGGTTTACTGTTATCAGCCAGCTGGGGCCTTGACCTGGACAGGGCATGAAGAAGTGGAAATGGTGCTCAGAGGGGTATGGCAAATGGCACTGGGGTGAGAAATCTATTACTTTTCTTCTCTTTTCCACTCTGGGAAAAATTATTCTTATTTCCTGTAAAGGGGAAATTCTGTAGAGCCTGGAATTGGCCCCTAAACATATTTTTCCCCACAAAGGCATTCTCTCTTGTGCTTGCTGCCTTATTTGTCCTTACTTTTCTATTCTTTATAGCAGTACAGAACTGAAGAATTTGCCTTTAGACTGGTTCAGTCTGGACTCTGAGCTGGATTTTTCCATTGGCTAGATGTTTCCGGCTACTGAGTAAATCATTTATTTGTCAAATCAGTCACCTGGTAAAACAGCACTTGCTTTCTAAGACTGATGGCTCTAGTGTGCCAAATAATACCCAGGGATTCCAGCTCCTGCCAAAACAAAGAATGGCCAAGGGGCTAAGGAAATCTGGCAAGTCCTATCAGCCCCACGTCCAAAATGTATCTATAGTTTATCTCCTTATCATAGGCCTGCTTTGTCTAGATTGCTATACTAGCATCTCAATTGGCCTCCCAGTTCCACCCTTGATCCCCCTCCAAGCCATTCTCCACTCAAGCCATAGACATTGTACTGCTTTCACAAATCGCCACAAATTTAGTGGATTAAAATAACACAAATTTAACAACAAAAAAAGTAAATAACGCAAATTTATCCTCTTACAGTTCTAGAGGTCAGAAGTCTGAAATCGGTTTCACTGGGCTAAAATCAAGAAATCAGCAGGATTGCATTCTTTCTGGAGGCTCTAGGAGAGAATCTTTGTCCTTGCCTTTCCAGCTTCTAAAGGCTTCCCACATTCCTTGGCTCGTGGCCTTGCATCACTGTGACCTCTATTTCCATTGTCACATCTGGCTCTGACTCTCCTGCCTACCTCTTTCCCTTATAAGAACACTTGTGATTACATTGGGCCCAAGTGGATAGTTCAGGGTACTCTCCCTATCACATGGTCATTAACTTAATCACGTCCACAGAGCCCCTTTTGCCATGTAAGGTAATATATGCACAGGTTCTGGGGATTAGAAGGCAGACTTTTTTTTTTGGAGGGGGAGTGGATTATTTTGCCTGCCACAAGCATCATGCCACTCACCTTGTTAAGATCCATCAATGACTTCTCTCTGCATGTAAAATACAATCTCCATTCCATCACATGGCCTACAAGACCCTGTCCACTTCTCAGCCAGTTTGCCCCTAGCTCACTATTCTCTTGTCACACTGGTCTGTGCCTACTCCTCTTAAAATTTCAAAACTTTTCTTTTGGGGGCCTTGATGATTGTTGCCCTGTCTTGCTGCATTATCCCACCTCCAAACACGACTACTTGTTTTCTTTTGGTCTTTGGCCAAATGTCACATCCTCTGGGAGACTTTTCCTGGGAAACTGTGCCTGAAGGAGGCCCCACCCTGATCACTTATATTTATTCTGTCACTTCATAACACGTATCATGCTCTGAGGCAAGGTCGTTTATATATTTGTTATCACTCTCATTACAATGTAAGCTCAATGAGGGCAATCATCATTTTGTTTTGTTTATCAACAGTATCCCCAGTGCTTATCATGATGCCCAGCAAATATTTGAAATCTATTCTATGTTCATTAAAGAAGACAACGTGAGGATCTCAGGGAGAAGGTCAGCATAAAACATCTCTCTTCCCTTTCTATGTCATTGACTTCACCATTCAAATTACAGCAAAGGTGTTTCCAGTTGTGGAATCCACTGTTTATTTGAAGGAAGGAATCTAACATTAATTGTATGGCTGCAGGGAATTGGGCTAGAACCTTTCGTTTCTTAATCCTCAAATGCTCTTTTGAGTCAAACATTCATGGTTCCTCTTAGCAGAAGAAACAGAGGCCCATGTAAGTAACTTGCCTAAATTTACAAGACTAGTAAGTAGTAGAGTGGCATCTGAATGCAGGTTGTCTGACTCCAAGAACTGTTACTGTTGTACATACCTGCTTACTAGAGAGTGTTGCCAAGAGAAAAGAGCTTGGACTGCAGAATTAGGTGGACCTGTATTTAAATCCTGACCATGTCACTTAGTAGCTTTGTAATTTTGAGTATGTGTCTTAGTCTTAGTGAATCTCAACTTCCTTATCTCATATGACTGTTATGAAGAGTAAATAAGATATGTAAGCACCTAGCACAATGCCTGGTGCTAAATACTTAACACATGGTAGGTATAAAATATTATTAATAGAAACCTGGAACTCAAGAAGACAGGCATATTCATTTCTTCGCTCTCTTCTAATTTAAAAGAAGCTTGGGTGAGAAAACTTGAAATAAATGCCCTTGGTCAATAGTCTGCTTTGCTTTCATCATTGCCTCTTCCTGCCACAAATGTTTTCAAGCTCAAACTTACTGAAAGAGGTTTCCTCATCAGTGATGAGTGCTTTTGTAACTCACTCAAAACCTACAAGAAAGAGTCACAATTTAGTAGTGCTGAGATGTTGTTGTTTTGGGCAACAGCTACATTTGGGACATTAGAAGTGGTAGAATGGGAAGTTTTCCAAAGCAGTGGAAGAGTATGTCATGTGACGCAGCAGCTGTGCTTCCTCATGGGATTGTCTCCCTAGTGGAACATTTCCCCAAAGCTACACTTTTCCTATCCTACCAGGAGGGTGAATAAAGTGTGTATCTCAAACGCCTCTGGTAACAATTTCTTTCCCAACCAACCCTTCACACTGCGTTGTTTAAAAGACAAATCTTTTTAAAAATGCAAATGTGTGTATGTCATTCTCTTGTTTAAAGCCTCCAATGCACCCTCCTGACACTTTTCACTGTTTTACAAGCCTCACCACTGTTTGAGTCCAATCTACCTTCTGAGCTCCATTTCTTCTGAATTTGATTCCATCACTACTGCCTCAATACACCCTCCACTTCATGGGTCTATTCACAATTCTCCCAAAATGGTAGCATCTTTCACCTTGGTGACCTTACACATGTTATTTCTTCTTCCTCTGTGGTCCCACGGCACTTTGGAACTACTATCAGAGCCCTTATCATATCCTTTTGGGTTTGTTTCCATGCTCATCTTCCCCAACAAAACATGCTTTCTAATTGATAGCTCCATTACATAACTTCAGTATGTACTGATTTACTGCTAAAAGTTGCTGTCATGGATTGAATTGTGTCTCCCAAAAAATGTGTGTATCAATTTGACTGGGCCATGATTCCCAGTATTGTGTGGTTGTCCTCCATTTTGTGATTGTAATTTTACATTAAAGAGGACTAGGTTGGGATTGTAACACCACCCTTACCCAGGTCACATCCCTGATCCAATGTAAAGGGAGTTTCCCTGGGGTATGGCCTGCATGCCTTTTAACTCTCAAAAGATAAAAGGAAAGGGAAGCAAGCAGAGAGAGGGGACCTCATACTACCAAGAAAGCAGGGCCGGGAGCAGAGCGCGTCCTTTGAGCCTAAGGTTCCTGCACTGAGATGCTCCCAGACCAAGGTAAGACTGATGACAAGGACTTCCCTCCATAGCCGACAGAGAAAAGAAAGACTTCCCCTGGAGCTGACTCCCTGAATTTGGACTTCTAGCCTACTAAACTGTGGGAGAATAAATTTCTCTTTGTTGAAGCCATCCACTTGTGGTATTTCTGTTATAGCAGCACTAGATGACTAAGACAGTCACACTACTCAATTCACTTGGTCCAAAGAAACATCACTGTGGTTACGAGGTTATTTTAGCCAAAAATTAAGATAACTAAGACAGTGGATGAAGTAAGAATAACTAGAGAGTAAGAGAGAAAGTTGAAACCAGAAAGTTAGGATTGGTGACTAAAGAGGAGAAAACAGCCTTGACAGCGTGAATATAGGAAATAGTATACGAAGGAGCTATAGAAGAATGATCCCAGCCCCATGAATGATGTGAGAATAGAATGAGGGAAACTGAAACCAATATAGTATAAGGAAGCATGTGCATATATTTATCACCTAGAATGCCAATCATATAAAATATTAGAGCTTTAAAGGACCTCAGAAAAATCTTAGCCCAGAGACCACAAAATGAAGACTTACTGTTGCAAAATTTGATCCATATATCTGTTTTATGTTACCCAGAGAACTTGGGCCTGTACAGAAATTAAAGAAAAAAAAAGTAGCAAACCTCTAAAATCAGGAGATTTGACATAAATATCTGGATAACCTGTTTTTCTTGAAAAGCTGAATTGACACCACTGGATCTGCATTCTTGAATGGCAACAACTTAGTTGGAGCTGAGCAGCAGCTGTCACCTTCAGGCAGTGCCTGTGATCCCACCATTGTCTCAAACCTCTTTCCCACTTCACTCCTGTACATTATCTGCCTAAGTCTTGGAGACATTTGAATTTTAGACCCATTATCTAATCAAATCCCTTTTCTTTACACAAGAGAAGACTGAGACTCACAACAGCTTGCTTAAGATCTCACACCTAAGCAATGAAGGGGGAGAATGGGACCTCTGGTCTCCTGATTCTAAGTGCACACTCATCACTACACCATTCTACCTCTAAGTTTCATCTATTGCCAATACAAATGAGATTCAGAAAATATGAAAGAAGGAACAAAGCCTATCTTTGAGATCCTATTTCCTAGAGCTACTGAAATCTCAAGGTGAGATTTAACAAGCAATCATCAGTACAATGTTCAGAAAATAGAACAAAGTGAGAAGGTCATGTTGATTCCACTCCCCACCCTTCCCTGAGCCTCTGTTCTGCCAGCAAGTGTTCAGGAAGAAGATGCTGTTAATAGCTCTTCATTCTCACACTGGGGGTTAACTGTATGGGCGGGGCACCTTCATATTCACAAGATCACCCATGATTGAAATTCCCTCCTGCTTATATGTTCAGCTGCTAACCAAAAAGTTGGCAGTTTGAATCCACCAGCCACTCCCTGGAAACCCTATGGGGCAGTTCTACTCTGCCTGCAGGGTTGCTATGAGTCGGAATTGACTGAACGGCAGTGGGTTTAGTAGTTCCCTTGCAAATGAGAAGAGAGTTGTTAATTTGTGGTTTAGATTTCACTAGGACTTGGATGGACTGAATCTGTGGGTAGTAAATATCTTAAAGGCAGTTAGAATGGTCTAGAGAGTGTAAGCAAAAACAAAGATCTTTGATACCTGCTTTTAAAGTGTCAATTTATGGGTTGATTACCAGACACCCAGATCTAGTGTGTCACAGAGGAAAGTTCAATCTGTTTTCAAAGAGTCAGCAATGCCAACTCAGTTTTCCTGTGTAGAAGCAGTCCTAAGAGATATGCTTAACCCATTAAAAACACTCGTTGCTATGGAGTCAATTCTGACTCATAGTAATGCTATAGGGCAGGGTAGAACTGCCCCCATAGAGTTTTCAAGGCTGTAAATCTTTTTGGAAGCAGACCACCACATCTTTCTCCTGCATAGTACAACTGGTGGGTTCGAACCACCAATCTTTTGGTTAGTAGCCAAGCGTTTAACCACTGCATCACCAGGGTACCTAGAGATATGACTAGGTCTCAGATATTTATGGCTCTTTTCTTTCAGTTCAATTAAACTAACATTTGTTGAGCACCTACTCTGTGCAGGCACTTTCTTACAGAAAAGGACACATGGGATTATCGAGGGGGAAGAAATTAATTGTGACATGGAGAATCTGATATCTTATGAAGGAAGCAGCATATTGGCATCTGTAGATATTGAAGTGTAAGAAATGCCAAGCAGAAGGAACAGAGTGAGGAACAGCACAGGGGTTGGCGATAAAAGATGTTCTAGGGTAGCAGCAAGTAGGGAGGGCTGGATGGAGCAGAGCAAGCATTGAGGAATGCTGTGTGTGTGTAGGGGTGGGGGGGAGGGTTTGAGTCTGGAAATTAGACTTATATTGTAGAAACTCTAAATGCCAGGCTGAAGAGTTTGGACTTTGTTCTATGTGTAATAAGAAATTACTGAAAGTTTTTGAAAAGAAAAGTGATACAATCCTTCATTATTTATAATAAAATATAGAGGAGTTAGCTGCATTTTTAAGACAAGCAAGTGTTTACTGTCTGTATTCCTAAAAGAACACATTTCCTAATTTCTTTCTGAGAAAGGAGTGTAAGCTCAAAAGAGCGTATTCCTGAACAAATACAAGAAAAAAAAAGGGATTGTGTTATCTGAAAGGACTAGATTTTGCTATTTTATTCCCCGCAGAGTTTACAAGGCTGTCAACAGAATGTTGGTGCATTGTTAAAATTAATAATTTAGATGAAGGTTTGCAAGAACCTAAGCAAAAGATAAGTTATTAAAAAAAATAAAACTGAATTCTCGGGGGGTGGTGGTGGGGGAAGGCTTTATGGTAAATTTATCAACTGTTTTCAAAATGAGAGCCTAGGATTAAATTTAGGAAAATCATATTGCATGGGGGTCAGGCATGTTGGCCTTTGAGTTCAGACTGACATGGGTGTGAGTTCTGGCTCAGCCAGTTAGTATCTGAGTAATCTTGGGAAACATACTTTCTTTTCAGCCTCAGCTTTCTCATCTGTAAATGGGAGTAATATTAACCACCTCACTGGGTTGTTAATAAAATTAACCATAACCACTGGGTTGTTGAAATTAAAAGTTTGCTAAGTGCTTACCAAAGTCCTATTTTGTTTATAATTAACTCTATACAGATATTTGCTGTTTTTACTGTAATACCCTCCTCCCAATTAATATAGATTTGACAATGAAAAAAAATCATCTTTCATATTTCACTTCTCTATTCCGTTTAGTACTTTAATATAAAATACTTTTGAAATATATCCTTATAACAATGAAAATAATAGACAATGTGTTAATTATTTAATCAGTAAACATGCACTAAAAGAATATGTATCTTTGCAAGTACAAAAATATTGTTTTAAATTTCTGGTAAATTGTTATTTCTTGACAATTTGTATGACTTAACTGTACTAATTTCATGGGCTTATATTTTTATAGCTTTTTATTATTGTCTCCTAACTTTATACCATCACTTTGTGAAAAATCAATTAAAACAAAATGTTAAAGGCTAGTGTTTCCATTATTTTACTCCTTGGATATTTGTTTCAGGCTTTGTAAGTCTTAAAATTCCTCAGTCAAATTTTTATTTGTTTTATTGTGTTTTAGGTGAGAGGTTACAGCACAAATTAGATTTTCATTCAAAAATTTTATGCACAAATTGTTTGGTGACGTTGGTTGCAATCCCCGCAATGGTTCAGCACTCTCCCCATTTCCCTTTCCAGGCTGGGTTCTCCATGTTCATTCGTCCGTTTTCGTGTCCCTTCCTGCCTTCTTGTCTTTGCTTTTGGGCAGGTGTTGCCCATTTGGTCTTGTATACTTGATTGAACTAAGAAGCACCTTCCTCACGTGTGTTATTTTTTGTTTTATATGCCCGACTGATCTTTGGCTGGAAACCCTGGTGACATAGTGGTTAACAGCTATGGCTGCTAACCAAAAAGGTCGGCAGTTCAAATCCACTAGGCCCTCCTTGGAAACTCTATAGGGCAGTTCTACCCTGTCCTATAGGGTTGCTATGAGTCAGAATTGACTTGACGGCAACAGGTTTGTTTTTTTGTTTTTTTAAATCTTTGGCTGAAAGGTAGACTTCAGGAGTGGCTTCTGTTCTGAGTTAGCAGGGTGTCCAACGGCCTTAGTCTTAGGGGTTTCTCCAGTTACTGTCAGACCAGTAAGTCTGGTCTTTTTTTGTGAAGTTGAATTTTGTTCTACATTTTTCTCCCACTCTGCCAAGGACCCTGTATTGTGATCCCTGTCAGAGCAGTCAGTGGTGGTAGCTGGGCACCGCCTAGTTCTTCTGGGCTCAGGCGGGTGGAGGCTGTGGTTCATGTGGTCCA